ACAATTTCCCAAATAAAATTTGTCATTAACTTCATAGCTGTTTATGGGACATTACTGTTCACAAATTGGCTGTCACTTTTGCCTACAGAATACAGCCACTACACTTAACAATAAAATCCTGTGAAACGCTTTGAGACGTCCTTCCGATGTGAAAGGTGGGATACAGGATTTTTATCATTATAATTGTTATAACCACCCTTTCTGTTAACCTGCTATGGTTGCTAAGTACCCTCTGGGTAGACAAAAAAAACTTCCTAATGTCTTAATGCTTTCACGTCATTGCAACGTCTCAAAGCGCTTCACAGATGTCTCAAAGCGCTTCACAGTATGTGTTGTGTGTGTGTATATGTGTGCGTATAGAGTGTGCTGTGTGCGTATAGTGTGTGCTAGTGTGTGTATAATGTGTGCTACGTGTACAGGGTGTGCTGTGTGTGTGCTGTGTGTATAGAATGTGCTCGAATTCAAGATCCTCATCCTCACCTACAAGGCCATTCACGGCCTTGCTCCCTCCTACCTCTCCGACCTACTATCCCCCTACCTACCTGCCCGTACCCTCCGTTCCTCTGGCTCCGGTCTGCTCCACATCCCCCGCCCCAACCGCCCTACCATCGGTGGCCGGGCCTTCAGCCTCTCAGCCCCGAGGCTCTGGAACTCTATCCCCCAGTGCCTTCGCCGCTTCCTCCCTTTCCTCCTTCAAGGCCGGTCTCAAGACCTTTCTCTTTGACCGAGCCTTCAGCTCCCTCTCAACTCTCTACCCCCTCCTCGCTCCCTCCCTTCCCTCCCCTCACCCTGACCATTTCCCCCCTCCTCGGGTCCTGACCCAACTGTACAGCGCCTTGGGATGTCCTCCCGACGTGAAAGGCGCTCTATAAATGGAATCTTGTTGTTGTTGTGTGTATAGGCTGTGTGTATATAGGGTGTCCGTGTACATAGGGTGTGTATATGGTGTGTGTACAGGCTGGGTGTGTATATGGGGTGTGTGTGTATAGGGTGTGTACACACGTACATGGGGTGTGTATAGGGTGTGGATACACGATGGCTGTGTATAGGGTGTGGATACACGATGGCTGTGTATAGGGTGTGTGTGTATAGGGTATGTATACAGGGTGTGTGTGTATATAGGGTGTGTGTATATGGGCTCTGTTTGGGGTGTGTATATGGGGTGTATATGGGGTGTGTGTATATGGGCTGTGTTTGGGGTGTGTGTATATGGGCTGTGTTTGGGGTGTGTGTATATGGGCTGTGTTTGGGGTGTGTGTATATGGGGTGTGTGTATATGGGCTGTGTTTGGGGTGTGTATATGGGGTGTATATGGGTGTGTGTATATGGGGTGTGTGTATATGGGCTGTGTTTGGGGTGTGTGTATATGGGGTGTGTGTATATGGGGTGTGTGTATATGGTTGGGGTGTGTGTGTGTATATGGGGCTGGTGGTTTGGGGTGTGTGTATATGGGGTGTGTGTATATGGGCTGTGTTTGGGTTGTGTGTATATGGGGGTGTGTATATGGGCTGTGTTTGGGGTGTGTATATGGGGTGTATATGGGGTTGTGTATATGGGGTGTGTGTATATGGGGTGTGTGTATATGGGCTGTGTTTGGGGTGTGTATATGGGGTGTATATGGGGTGTGTGTGTATGTTGGGGTGTGTGTGTGCAACATTGCTGTGTGCAAATTGTTTGCTGTGTTCGCCCACAAAACACTGTCACTTTAACTTCAAGATCCAATCTCTTCACTCCCTGGCACCTCCCTAATTCTCTGACCTGCTCCCACCCCATTCCTCCCCCGATTCTCAGATGCATGTCCCTCGGCCCCTCCACTCACCATTGGCCGCAATGCTTTCAGCCACCTCACCCCAAATCTCTGGAACTCTCTGCTTGAATCCCTCCGCCTCGCCCCCTTTTTGTTTATCTTCAAATGACACCTAAAGATTTTCATGTTTGACCATGCCTTTCATCACCTTTCTTTCCAGCTCCCACTGTTAACCACTCTGAGATTCTACATGTGTGAAGGGCGCTGTATAAATGCAAGTTGTTGTTGTGACCCCATCACACCCACCCTCACCCGGCTCCACTGGCTCCCCATCCCTCAGAGGATCGAGTTTAAAATCATCGTCCTCACTTTCAAATCCCTCCATGGCCTTACCTCCTCCTACCTCTCCGACCTGCTAACCCCTTATCAACCTGTCCGCTCCCTTCGCTCAGCAGGCTCCGGCCTGCTCCATGTCCCCCACCCGGCCCGGCCCACCATTGGCGGTTGGGCCTTCAGCCTTTCTGCCCCCACCTTCTGGAACTCCATTCCACATTCCCTTCGCCTCGCTCCCTCCCTTGCCTCTGTCTGAAGACCTTGCTCTTCAACCGTGCCTTCAGCTACCCTCTCTGCCCTCCACCTTGCCTGATCACAACCACACACCCGCTCGGGTCCTAATCCCTGACTGTTCAGCGCCTTGGAACGTCCTCTTGACATACATGTACATACATACGTACGTACGTATGTACGTACGTACGTACCTACCTACCTCCTACCTACCTACCTGCCTGCCTGCCTATCTACCTACGCACGTACGTATGTACGTACATACATGCATACATATGCCTAACTTCCACTCTGGATAACAATATATAATAATAATCCTTGATTTGACATAGCACCTTATCGTGTCATTGGAAAGTCTCAAAGCACTTCACAGATTATATTGTAAAGTGGATTGTTTTTGCGTATTTTGTGGGTGAAACGTGGTCAGCCAATGGTGCACAGCAATGTCTCACAAATTTTTTTGAGAGATTATTACCACGGAAAGCTTTCCACCAACCAACTAACAACCAGGTTTCTACTTACCTCTAGGTAAACAGGCGTGTGGAGTAAGGTAACTTGCCTAAAGTTTTGTTCCGCCCGGGAATCGAACCTGAGTTCTCTTGCTTGCGAGGCGAGTGCTCTAACCACTATGCTACAGGACTCCATAAATCAGTGAACCCTTTCCTCTTGGAGTGATGAGTTATTAGGAATTGTGAGGTTCTATCTCTTTTTGATTTTTTTTTTGCCCTTGGCAGCAAACAGCTTGCGAGCATCATGTTTGTAAGAGGCACATTCCTGCTGCAGTCATTTTCACTCCGACCTCTTTCCCCCACTTCCCTCCCCACTCCCCAGCACCCGCTGTCTTGAACCCACACCTCTGGCTTCTGTTACACTAACTACTGGCTGCCCGAAGTGACAGACTTAGGACACTGGAGGAAATGGCACCTTTCTGTCACTCACTGTCTCCCAGGCAGTAGATTCACAGAGGAGAGGTGTCAGTCTCTTTCGCAAAGTTGGATGCTGCTTGGAGGGAGATGCAAGGAATGCCGTGGGAGAGAGAGAGGGGTGTGTGTGTGTGTGAATATGGATCATGTGGAAGAACTAACAATTATTCACATGAGCCTCTCTCTCTCCCTGCTTTCTGGGGCGTTAAACATTGCAAATAATATTAACAGTAACAACAATCCCCGTGGCTCTGACAGTGTTGAAATGGGTTCCTGTACTTTGCATATTGCTATCAAGCATAGTGACTGTTTATTTATAAACAAACATGGGAGTCACATGGGGATCAGACTCATTGGACACTCCTGCCCCATCCCCCCCTTCCCCCAACTCCTTTTAAGTCATGGAGTTGAGCATTGCACTGCCTGTTCAGATGGACTTTAAAGATCCCGTGGCACTATTGGAAAAGGGAAGGCAGTTTCTCTCTCCCGGTATCCTGGCTAACAATCCCCCATATAAAATTGATCACTCACTTCATGGCTATTTGTGGAACATTGCTGTGCGCAAACTGGCTGCCCATTTCGCCCACACAATACAAAGTCAATCCACTTTACAGTGTATCCTGTGAAGTGATTTGAGATTAGGCACTATATCAAATGCAAGGATTATTATTATTATCTCTTTGCACAGTACATCTGGGGCGTGGATAAGATAGTAATGACTAAGTAGAAGATGTGAGTTGTTTTCACCTTGAGGCACATGGGTTAAGTTATTCCTCTTGGTTGACCCTCTAATGTCTGTCACAAGAGACCAGACAATGACAGACCATAACACCAACGCCTCGCAATGTCAAAACGTCTCAACACGCTTCACTGGTAAATACTGTCACGTGTAGTGACTGTTTCCTGAGGTAATTCCCCTTGAGGTCAGTGAGTAGACATTTGTAAGAGACTAAAAGCGGAAACATGACTGCCTGGGCTCCAAGAATAGCTCATGTCTGGCTGTGCTTCACAGATAATGGACAGAGAGAATCAATTTATGTTGTGAATTACAATGGAAGGAAACACAATAAATAGGAGCTCTGGGACATTCAAAACACATTGAATTAATGTCTTCACAAATAGCCCATGGCTGGCTCGGAGTCTCATCCATGTTATTATACATCACATCTCTCATATTTGCTCCCGGTCTTACCACTTGGAGTCCACATCATAGATAGGAGGTCATTTGAGCTTTTGTATCAATCCTGGTGCTCTCACTTCCCTACTGGAACTCTCTACTCTAATCCCATTCCTGCCTTCGCCCCATTGTATCTGTGTTGCTGCTCACTCCCCTTCACTTGAGCTATCCACTCTAATCCCATTCCACTGCTCACTCAAGTAACCCCTTCAGTGGAGCCCTCTGCCGCATTTCCCTACAAAATACACAGTCACTCCACCTTACAATATATCATGTGAAGCGCTTTGAGACATTCTCCTGACGTGAAAGGTGCTATATCAATGCATGGATTCACATAATTATTTTCCACAATTGTTTGACACTAGCTGTACCCGTGGCAGCTACGCTTGCAACCAAAAAGTCCAATATGAAATGTAGATAGACACACACATAGACAATTCATCTTTATACTTATCTGGGAGGACTCCTTTTAGAAGGACTCAATGAGAGGACTCAGCGCTTTAAAAATGTAATTGTGCTGTTGGTGTTCTTTATTTTGTTCCCGCCGCTACTTGGGTAGCTTGGCTACGTGTGTGCTCTGTGACGCAGGATGCCACAGGGCCATAGTCAGCCGCCGCGGCCACCAGCTGTAACTGCAGTGCATGCGTGCATAAGAATATGCTCTGTGACGCACAATGACCCAGAGCACAACTTTGACTCGGCGGCCACCAGGTGTAACTGCAGTGAAAAACGTAAAACTGAAATCCATTTTAGGTGATAACTCATGAACGATAGGAGATACCTGAAAACAAATATGCCTGTGTCACTCCCAGACACAAGACCTTTCCGATGAGATATAAATCATGTCTCTAAGTCAATCGGTTATTGAGATCCTTCTTGAAGCGTACACAGACAGACATTGTTGTTTTATTATTATAGATGATTGTTATGTTCTCAATGTGTAGAAAACTCTTTTATTCTCAGCTCACAAGTTACAAATCAAACAATCCAACCAAAAACCCTTCAGTCAGTAGTCAGTGGGTAATAAACAGACTGTATCATGCCCCACCTTTGTTTTGCATCATTAACACCTCTTTAACCCATCATCCACTGTCCTCTACCCCATTTTCTCCTTTATCTTCCTTGTCCTGCCTCCCCCCTCTCTGTTAACCCTTAAAAGCCTCTCCCTCCCAACATGCCCCAGTTTTGATGAAGGGTTGTGGACCTGAAACGTTGACTTACTTACTTTCCTTTCTTTTTTTCACTTTCTGCCTGACCTGCTGAGTGTTCCCAGTGACTTCTGTTTTTGCCTCATATATCCGTTTTACACTCCCATCAGTCTTTGCTTCAAATTACCTCAATTACCACCCTCGGTAGCCGTGTCTTCAGCCACTATGGCCCGAGGCTCTGGAACTGCCTTCCTCACTCCCTTCGTCTCGCTTCCTCCCTTCCCATTTTCAGGTCTCTGCTGAAGACCTTTCTTTTCGACTGCGCCTTTGGTCACCTTCCTCCCCCTCCCCCTGGCTCTGCCCCGGGATCCTAAACTGTAAAGCACTTTGAGATGCCGTCCAGCATGGAGGGCGCTATATAGATCCAAGTTGTTGTTGTTGCTGTTCAATGGCAAATCCCCTCCGAAAGCCCCCTGTAAAACAACCTGGCGTGCGCACCCACGCACAACCACACGCACTCACGCCCGCCCTCCTATCCTCCACCACTCAATACAGCAAGCTACTAGTGGAGGTTTGGGGGGAGAGTGCAGTAGAGAAAGCAAACAGGAACCCAGCGCTATAACATCCATTCAAAGAAAAATTGTTTTATCGAAGGTGCTGTCTTTAAGAATTAGACATTAAAATACGAGGTGCCGTCTGTGCCCTGTTAATAAATCCTTGCATTTGATATGGCACCTTATCACGTCATTGAGACATCTCAAAGCGCTTCACAGAATATACAACAGCAACAATTTGCATTTATACAGCGGCCTTTCATGTGGGGTAGTGTCCCAGAGCCTTTGATATTGTACACTTTATATTGTAAAGTGGATTGACTGTATTTTCTGGGTAAAACAATGGTAGCCAATTGCACACAGCAGTGTGGATTGAAATTATTCAATTATTCCTATTTATTTTTACAGGATTATTGCCATCAGAAAGGAACTGTCAATCGATTAACAAACATTTTCCTATTTCCTACTGCTAAGTAAACAGAGGCATATGGAGTAATAAACTTGCCTAATATTTTGCCCTGCCCGGGAATCAAATTCAGATCCTCTACTTGCAAGGAAAATGCTCTAACCACTAAACTACAGGACTCCACAGGACTTAAATCTTGTCTTACCCAATACAATACGGGATTCCACTCGACCAGGCATTGCAGGCAAATTGGACTGAATGGATTCCTCTTTCACAGACGTGATGAGCTTTAAGTGCTCTGGGACGCTGCTCTGCTTGAAAGGTACCATGTAATGTAAATGCAAATTGATGTTGTTTTTGTTGTTGCTGTTGTTAATGGCCTACATTGTTGGAGGCATTATCCATAGAATGAAACGTTAAACCAAGGTCCCGTTTGCGTCTGTTCAGGTGTTCAAGATCCCATGGGCCTACTCAAAATGAATTTCTCGCTCAATGTGTCCTGACCAACAATCCCCCAAATAGAGTCAGTCACTCCATGGCTGTTTGTGGGATAATTTATACTGGCTGCCACATTTCACTTTACAGTTTATCCTGTGAAGCGCTTTGAGGCGTCTCAATGTCGTGATAAGGCGTTATATCAACCGTAAGGATTATTATTATTATTCCCTACCAGACAAAGCAGTTTACTGGACCAGATAGAGATGAAATAACACACCCTCATACAGCCACCAGGTAGTCTTCAAAGCAGCTTGAGAGAGCTCCCCAGCGCCCAACCATCTGTTAACACCACAACAATCTCCGCTTGTGTTCTAGGGATTGTCAGTCGCTGCCGCCAGCTCCTCACCTCGCCGCAACCCCCCCAACCCCCACCCTCTCTGTTGTCTTCTTCTAAAAATGGAGCTCCACTAAGCCAGAAATAGATTGCTGTGCTGCCAGCTCAGTGAGAAATAACAGCGGGATATTAAACTCAGGACACTTACAACTCAAGACATTGACAGCCATGGAGTTTTGCTGGAACAAACTTCCATTATAATAAAAATAATAATTTTTACTATTATCCCAAGACCTTCCTCTTTGATTACGTCAACAGAACAATTCAAAAAGAGAAGGAAGTTTCTCTCTCCTGGCGTCCTGGCCAACAATCCCCCAAATACAATTAATCACTCACTTCAAGGCTGTTTGTGGGACACTGTTGTGTGCAACTGGCTGCTGCGTTTCACCCACAAAATACACAGTCACTACACTTTACAATATATCCTATGACGTGCTTTGAGATGCCTTGATGACATGATAAGGCGCTACACCAAATGCAAGGATTATTATTATAATATTACTGGGAGGAATCTTGAAAGGAATCAGGGCAGGTGGCCAAACACAACAACACCAGCGGATGTTTCTGAGCTAAGTTCCATCCCATTTGGCAGAAATGAAAGGGCAGAGTTTTTACTCATTGCCTCCCACCACTTCAGAGACGTAGGGCAGTTTTTCATCCCATCTGTTGGAGTTGGAGCCCTGGCTCCAGGTAGGTAAGCATGTCCGTGTAAAGAGAAAGGTGCTCAGCAATTGCGTGCCAGCCTGGTTCAGTCTGTAACCCTCTCGCCTCTGAGTCAGAAGGTTGTGGGTTCAAGCCCTCACATCAGGACTCTAGGTTAATGCTCTAGTGCAGTGCTGGGGGGAGCACTGGCTTGTTGCAGATGCTGTCATGTGTAAGTTAAAATAAATAATAATTTGGTCACTTTTCACAATTGGCTGCTGTATTTGGTTCATAAAATATAGTCAATTAATTTTACAGTACATCCTGTGAAGTGCTTTCAAACATCTCAACGACGTGATAAGACGCTATATCAAATACAAGGATTATTATATTATTATGAGCTATTCAAAAAGAAAAGGAATTTTCTCCTGGTGTCCTGACTATTAATCCCTCGCCTTCTCCCTGATAAAATTGATCACTCACTTCATGTTTGTTTGGGGAGATGTTGCTGTGTGCAAAGCTGGCTGCCACGTTCGCCTACAAACACAGTCACTGCACTTAACAGTAAATGTCGTGAAGCACTTTGTGAAAGGTGCTGTATCAAATGCAAAGATTATTACTATTATTCCAATAATCAGTCCCTCTTGTCTTAATGGACTGCGGAGCCTTGCTGGCCCGTGACAAGTAGAGACCTGGGTCAGACAGCGCTCTGTGGGCTTGTGCCCATGATTGTCTTCCCCTCCCCTCCTGCTCCCCCCCGGCACCGAGTTCCCATGGCTGCAGAGTTGTCTGCTGGCACAGATTGGTTGCTGTATTTACACATTTCACAACCACAGCATTTAGACTCACACTGAGACGTCTCTGGTTCATGGACTCGCCAACATCAGAAAATCACAGATTGTTACAGCACAGAGGGAAGCTATTTGTCCCACTTTATCTGTGCCAGAAGTCTGTTTAGTCTCTCACAACCCTGTCACTCCCCATCGTGTCTATGCTGGTGCTCGCTACCCCACTGGAGCTCTCTACTCTAATCCCATTCCCTGCTCTCTCCCCATCATGTCTGTGCTGGTGCTCCCTCCCCACACTGGTGCTCTCTATTTTAATCTCGTTACTCTGACTGACAATCTTACAGTTAAATTGATCATTGATTTCCCACCTGTTGCTGTGCACAAATTGTTGCTGTGTTCAACTACAAATGATAATAATAATAATAATAATACAAATATACAACAACAGCAACAAACAACAACAACATTACATTTGTATAGCGGCTTTCACATTGGGAGGATGTCCCAAGATGCTGGACATTCAGCTTTTCAGCCCCGAGCTGGGGGTCGGGATCTGGGAGGGTGGAGGGCAGCGGGGAAAGAGGGTGATTGAAAGCACGGTCGAAGAGGAGGGTTTTGAGACGGGTCTTGAAGGAGGCAAGGGAGGGGGTGAGGCAGAGGGACTGTGGGTTGGAGTTTCAGTCGGTGGGGGCAAAGTGGCTGAATTCCGCCCGCCAATGGTGGGGCGGGCGAGGCAGGGGACATGATGCAGGCCGGAGCCTGCTGAGCGGAGGGAACTGGCCGTTTGGTAGGGGCCACTTACAGTAATTAATACACTGTACAGAAAACTCTGAAAGACTTTGAGACATTTTGACCAGCGTGGTGTTAAATGGAGTCCCGGAGCCAAGTGGTTGGTGTGCTCGCCTCACAAGCGAGAGGACCTGAGTTCGATTCCTTGGCGGAGCCAAACCTTAGGCAAATTTTCTTACTCCGCACGTCTCTGCTTACCGAGCAGTAAGTAAGAATGTTAGTCAATTGGTGGATCATTTTTTGGGGATAATAATCCCTCAAGACAAAATGTGGTCATTCAATCTATGGCTGTTTGTGGGTTTTTTTGTGTAATTGGCTGCCGTGTTTCACCCACAAAATACATAGTGAATCCAATGTACAGTATATTCTGTGAAGCACTTTGAGACGTCTCAACGACATGATATTATGCTATATCAAATGTAAGAATTATTAAATACAGAGAATGTTGTTATTGGTATTATTTTTGTGGGCTGGTCAGGGCTCAACCATTGTAACTGCAGCAAAGGAGAATCTCCCTACCCCCTGACTTTGTTTGAATGGTTTTACCTGGAAGCTGAGATTCATGGAACTGGCATCAATTACTTGGATTCAGGATCAGCAGTTGAAATCACTTGAACAAATTTGGGAGGGAACATAATAATGATAGTAATAATGCTTACATTTGATACAGCACATTTCACATCAGGAGGACGTCCCAAAGAGCTTCACAGGATATACTGTAAAGTGTAGTGACTGTGCATTTTGTGGGAAAACGCAGCAGCCAATTTGTACCCATCAATATAATAATAATCCTTGTACTTAATATGGTGCCTTATCACATCATTGAGACGACTCAAGGCGCTTCACAGAATCAATTGTAAAGTGAATTGACTGTATATTTTGTAGGAGAAATGCGGCAGCCAGTTGTGTACAGCGGTGTCCCACAAACAGTCATGGATTGAGTGATCAAATTATTGTTGTTATTTATTTATTTTTTGGAGGGATTTTTACCTCCACCGGAAACCGATCCACTAATTGACTAACAACTGGGTTCCTACTTACTGCTAAACAACATGTAACAACAAGATAAACAGAGGCGTGTGGAGTAAGGAAATTTGCCTATGGTTTCACCCTGCCCAGGAATTGAACTTGGGTCCTTTCGCTTGTGAGTCGAGCGCACTAACCACTATGCTACAAGATTCCACAATCTCGTCCCATTGTACACTGCAGAGCAGTGATAATATCAGTCTCAAAGCTTTAGCGATAAGACCGTCGTCTTTCAATGTGATTAATGTTTGGCAAGTAACCGATTTCTTCTCCTTTGATTCACTTAACAGATGCTCGTAGTTTGCAAGAGCCTGATGCAATATTAGCTGTTTTGTACAAAGATTTTGTAACTAGTGATCGAGTCATGACTATCAACTTGGGTCTCCGCCGAGCTGAACTGGCTCCAAGGTGACATGCTCGGTAAAAGAATGTTGGGAATCAAGCCCATCCTCCATGGTGACACTCCACCCAGTAACAACAATAACTAATAATTTTGTCACTTAATCTATGACTGTTTGTGGGACACTGCTATGTTTAATTGGCTGCCGTATTTCACCCACAAAATACACAATCAATTTGTTTTACATTATATTCTGTGAAATGCTTTGCGACGACTCAACAACATGATAAAGTGCTATATCAAATGCAAGGATTATTATTATTATTAAAATCCTGCGAAGAGGGTTTGAAACATCTCAACGACATGAAAAGGTGCTACATCAAATGCAAGGAATAATATTATTATGACTATTACACATCCCTTTAATATTCATCCTTATCAAGCATCTATCTCCCTCCCTTTTAAAAAAAATTAACAGACTCTGCTTCAATTTGGATTGATGACAGAGAATCCAAGTTGTCACCTCCCCTTTAATTTCCCTCTTTATCATTGTCTTAAATTTGTGCCCGGTCATAACTAACTTGTGACGAGTGAAATGACCTGTCACTATTCACCCTATCATGATCCTTCAGAATCATCAAGACTTCAATCAGGTCACCTCTTAATCTTTTTCTATATAGAGACAACACACAGCATAATGAAATGTATTCCACAGAGACACATAAAATAAGTCTTTAATGGTAGGACTGACACTATTGAGATTGAAATTCCATTTAGGTTTACTCTATTAATACAGGATTTAAGTAATAATAATTTGGTCACACAATCCATTCGCTGCTGCATTTCGCCCACAAAAATATACAGTCAATTCACTTTACAGTGTATTCGATGAAGTGCTTTAAGGCATCTCAATGATGTGATAAGGCGCTATATCAAATGCAAGAATTATTATTTCAGAACAGAGACCGGAGGATCTGAAATGTTTTCCATTGGAACAAAAACGATTGAGGGGTGACATTTATCAAAGTCTTTAAAATGATGAGGGGTTTTGGTATATAGGCAATCAATCGGGAGACTATATTTCCACTGGTTATTGAGTCAGTGACTAGAGGGCATCAATTTAAGACAGTTAGTAAACGAGCAAATGGGGAGGTTAGGATTTTTTTCACACAGAATGGTTAGGACATGGAATGTCCTGATGGAGAGGTGGTTCAGGCAGAATCCATTTTAGTTTTCAAAAGGGAACCTTTATTTACCTAGAAAGGCATAAACTGCAGGGGTGTGGGGAAAAGGCAGGTAAATTACAACAACAACTTGCACTTATAGCACCCTCCATGCAGGGTAGTGTCTCAGAGTTGATTGACTCTTGAAAACGAAATTACGTATGAAAGGATTGCTCTTTAAAAGAGCCAGCACAGACACAATGGGCCAATTGGTCTTCTGTCTTTAAGTATAGTTGATTAACGGATCGCTTTTCTGGGATAATAATCCCTTCAAAAATAATACTAATAATTTGGTCATTCAATTCTCGATAGTTTGTGGGACACTGCTGTGTGCAATTGGCTGCCATGTTTCTCCCATAAAATGTACAGTCAATTCACTGTACAATATATTCTGTGAAACACTTTAAAATGTCTTGAACACCATGATAAGGTGCGATATCAAATGCAAAGATTATTATTATTTATGGGACATTGCTGTGTAGAAATAGGGTGCTGCTTTTGCCTACAAAATACACAGGCAATACACTTTTACAGTAACAATCCTGTGAAGTGCTTTGAGACATTTTGATGAATTTAACAACAAAAATTTGCATTAATATAGCACACTTAATGCAGGATAGCATCTCAGAGTGCTGTAAGATACAAAATCAAATACAAAAATCATTATTAATTTTGTCCTTTGGATGAGACGTTAAACTGAGCTTCGGTCTGTTTCGTTTCAGGTGGATGTTAAAGATCCCGCGGCGCTATTCAAAAAGAAAAGGGAGTTTCTCTCTCCTGGTGTCATGGCCGACAATCCCCCAGATAAAATCGTTCATTCACTTCATGGCTGTTTGTGAGACTTTACTGTGGGTAAACTGGCAGCAGCATTTCCTCCACAAAATACACAGTCACTACATTTTACGGTAAAATCTGTGAAGCACTTCAAGTTGTCTTGAGGACGTGGTAATAATATTAATCCTTGCACCTTATTATATCGTTGCGACGTCAAGCGCTCTGGGATGCTGCCCTGCACGAGGAGCGCTATATAAATGCAAGTTGTTGTTGTCTCAAAGCTCTACACAGAATATACTGTAAAACTGCTGTATCAAATGCAAGTCCTATGTGTGGGACAATTCATTCAGAAAGAGTTAGATCACTGGAGAAAATCTGGACCCTGGTGGAATTTCTCTCCCCTGGTAGCTATTGCTGAGAGACCCTGGCACACTAAGAGTTAACAATCCTGGATGCCAATTGAGTGCTTCCTGACTCAATGGGCGGATTGTAGGAGTTAGAAATCTATTTCTCAGAGAAAATGCATAGACCTCCCCCTTTGCTTTGACGTGTCCTGCTTACGAGAGTCTCTGAGCAAACCTGCCTCCTCCCTCTGTCTCCCTATCCACCCTCACCTCCTCTCTCTCTCTCTCTCTCTCCCCCCGTCACCCCTTCCCATCACATCCCAGCCCAGGCTGACCACCTGCCTTGCCTTTATGCCTGTTCTGGACGCTTTCAGCACCACAGTTACGGCGGACAGCTCCTCACCACATCACCGCAATGAACATCTCCAGCAGTAGCGACCTGTTGGAGTTGGCCGGGGGATCCCAATATTTGGAGGATGGGGACTTTAGGACCTCTTTGCCTGTAATCCTCGGGGTGATCTGCCTTCTGGGCTTGTCTGGCAATGTCCTGGTAGCGATGGGTTTGACCATGGACCTCAGAAAAGGCAGGAGATCGGCTGTCAACACTTGGATCTTGGTCTGAGCTCCACAGACTTTCTCATCCTCCTGCTTTGCCTTCCAATCCGAGCCGCTGTCTACTCAAAGCCAACTTGGACTTTGGGGCGCCTGGCTTGCAAGTCCTCGGATTACATCCTACAAGCCTTGTTGACCACCAAAGCTTTTTGCCTGGCCGCTTTGGGACATGCAAGTTACAGGCAAGTCAGCCAACCTACTAAACCTGACCACCTCAAGCCTCAACCAGCCACTGCTATCTTGGCTTTGTCTGGCTTAACAGCCTCCATCCTATTGCCCATCCCTCACTGGCTCTTCTCCACCACACAGCAGAGCCAGCTAGCCACCTATTGCTTGTTCCAGGTGCCCAGCCACGGCACAAGGTTCATGTGGGTCTTCAGCAAAGCTTACCCTGTCTTGGCTTACTGCCTCCCACTGGCTTTTTCCATCGTTTGCCCCATCAAAGCTCTCCTGCTGCCCGGAACACCCCAGAGAAATAGGACCATCAACCCAAGATACCAGACCAGGAGGGTTTCCATCATGGTGCTTGCCCTCAGCTTGGCATTTGCTCTCCTAAGGCTCCCAGATTGGATTACCTGGATCTGGCTTAGACACAGAGACACTGGGAGCTCCAAGCCCCCTGTTTCCCTGATGGTCCTCTCCCAAGTTCTACTTTTCCTGGGTTGCACAGTGAACCCTGTGATAGTCTCTGCCATGTCCAGGGAGTTCAGGGATGGGTTGAGGGATATTTGGTCAGCGGTTCGATGCAGGCAGGCACCTAGGAGCACTTCTGAGGAGCTGGAGGGAGAGAGAGAAGGGAAAGGACCAGGGAGAAGAGGAAACAGTGCCTTGGGGCACCTCCAGACCATCTCAACCCTGCAGAATGTGGACATCTGCCAAAGCCCAATCGACCAACTGCTCCCAGATGTTCGCCACTTCTGGCAGGACAGAGAGAACACTAAAGCTGCGGTTGACCAGGACCCGATTCCCTGGGAGCATCATGAAAACGCCTAAAAGGAAGTTTGCAACAGGTTTGATCACACATGTAGCTGAGTTAATAATATTAATAATCCTTGCATTTGATGTAGCACCTTATCACATTGTTAAGACTTCTCAACACGTTTCACAGAATATACTGTAAAGTGGACTGACTGTGTATTTTGTGAGGGAAACAGGAATTTTTAAAATTTTCTTTCTAAGTTACAGATATGTAATATGGAATCATGTAGCGTAGTGGTTAACGTGCTTCAGTGAGGGTACCCGCTCCCCACTGGAGCTCTCTTCTCCAATTCCATACATTTGCTATTTCCCAAGCTCTAATCCCATTCCCCTGCTCTTTCCCCATTGTGTCTATGCTGCTGCTCACTCCCCTCTGGAGCTCTCTCTAACACTTCTTGACTGTATTAATAATTAATAGTGTAAAGAACTAATTAACTTGTATGTTTTTTGCACCTTAATAGTTTAAGACTCCTTAATAGCAATTATTAAATCTGGTAACTGTTTATCTTTGTAGGCAAATGCAGCAACCCCAAGCAGTTATGGGTGAATGGTGAATTAATCTGGAGGATTGTCGGCCAGGACAACGGGAGAGAGAAATTCCCTTCTCTTTTCCAGTAGCGCTGCGGGATCTTTAACGTCCACCTGGACAGGTGTAGATAGTATCTCGGTTCAATGTCTCATTGTGAAGGACAGCACCTCAGACAATGTAAAGCACCATTTTCTCTCCCACCCATACTACTTCCATTGCTGCATTGGTGTGTCAGTATGGAATGTAAGTTCAAGAACATTGCTTTGTTCTCTCAATACAAACTGATAAGGAAATCAAGACCCCAAAATGACAAGGGAAGGGGAGTGGGGGTGTCTAATTTGTAAAAAAAAAGATTCAGGCAGCAAGAGAAAAATGGGGGAATGATAATAATAATAATAATCCTTGCATTTGATATAGTGCTTTTTACGTCTTCTAGACGTCTCAAAGCGCCGCACAGAATAAATTGTAAAGTGAATTTGACTGTATGCTTGTGGACGAATCGCGACAGCTAATTGCACACATGAGTGTCCCAGAAACAGTCGTGGTTTGAAGTGACCAATTTATTATTGTTTTTTTTTGTTGAGGGAATATTATCAGCCGTGTGTAGTAAGAATACTTGCCCAAGGTTTCGCCCTGCCAGGAACCAAACCCAGATCTCTCGCTTGCGAGGCGAATGCTCTAACCACTGAGCTACAGGACTCCATTAGAAAAGGTTAGGAAAGACTATTAGAGAATAGATATTCTGTAAGCGAATATCACAAATTAACAAGCATTGATTGCCTCCACCCCCTATCCTAATCACCCGTCTCTGATTCCCTGCCCTGTGAGCACTCTACAGTGGTGATGCTTTGTGTCAGAATGTGCCCCTGCCCCTCTCTATTGCCCAGGAGGCCTGGGGCCGAAATTTGACACGCAGCTCTTAATACTCATTTCTTGCAGTGTTGAAATGCTTCTGTCTTGTAATATGCTCTTCTCTCTCGTTCCATTCAGTCAGTCAGTCTCCGAAATGGAAAATGTTACTGGTTGCATGCATCCCTCTCTCCCTCCCTCCCTCCCTCCTTCTTCCGTCTATCTTTCTTTCCACTTTTTTCCTTCATTCTGTACTTCTTTCTCTCCTTTTTTCCCCTCCCTCCCTGCCTCCTTCCTTCCTCTCTTCCCTCCCTCCCTCTTACACTCCCTCCTCCTACACTCCCTCCCCTCCCTTCCTCCTTGTGTGGTATTTATTAAAAGGTTTATTCAATGTGTCTGATGGTCACTTTCTTGTGCACTGAACTGCAAATACACAGTCACCAATTACATTTTACACGTGCATCTGTGAAGACTATGCAGGGAGTTTCTCTCTCACGGAGTCCTGACTGACAATGCTTCCAGCTAACAGTCAAACACCTCCTGGCTGTTTGTGACATTGTGCTGTGTACAAGTGGCTGCCACGTTTGCTTAATAATAATAATCCTTGTATTTTATGTAGTGCCCTATCACATAATTGAGATGCCACTAAGTGCTTTACAGGATATACTGTAAAGTGGAGTCATTGTGTATTTTGTGAGAAAAACATGGCAGCCAGTTGCATACAGCAATGTCCCACAAACAGTCAGTGAACAATTTTATCTGGGGATTGTTGGTCAGGACATGGAAAATCTCCGATTAGTGCCATGGGATCTTTAATACCTGAACAGATAGATGGGACCTTGGTTTATGTCTCATCTGAACAACGGCATCGCCGACAATGGAACACAACTGCAGCATTGCATTGGAGCGTCATCTTAGACTATGTGATTCCAAATCCCGACATGGGGGCTTGAACCCACAACCTTATTACTCAGAAGCAAGAGCGCTACCACTGAACCAGGCTGACACATAGCATGCATACAGCATACACAGGAACTACACTATGGCAGCAGTTCACTGTGAAGTTCTTAAAGATGTGCAAAGTAGATCAAACTGAATACTAAATCAACTCTCCAAATTCCATTGTTCTGACAAGTGTCATTTTGTCTTAAAATTTAATAGTGGAATTTTTTTAATCCACTTCTGGTTTGGACGATGTTTTTATTTCTTAAATATTGTGCAAAATTTCACAGGCATGATATCAATCGACCTAGGTTTGATTCCCAGGCGGGACGAAACCTTGGGCAATTTTCCTTATGCCACACGGCTCTGTTTACCTAGCAGTAACTAGGAGCCCGGTTGTTAGTCGATTTGCAGATTGTCTTATGGATCAATAATCCGCTGTGGAGTCCTGGCTCAGTGGTTAGAGCATCGCCTGCAAGCGAGAGACTGAGTTATGGTTCCAGGCAGGGCGAAACCTTGGGCAAGTTTCTTACTCACACACGCTAATAATAATTCCCTCAAAAACCAAAACAATAATAAATTGGTCATTCAAACACGACTGTTTTGGGACACTATGCTGGCATTAGCTGCGCAGTTCGCTCCACAAGATACAGTCAAATTCACTTTACAGTTATTCTGTGCGGCGCTTTGGGACGTCCTCCAGAGACGTAAAAGCACTATATCAAATGCAAGTATTATTATATTATAATCAGTCCCCCAAAAATTGGTCACTCAATCTACGACTGTGGGACACTGCTGTGCGCAATTATCTGCCGCATTTCACTCACAAATACACAGTTAAGTCACTTTACAATATAATCTGTCAAGTGCTTTTAGATGTCTCAACAACATGATAAGACGCTATATCAAGTGCAAGGATTATGGTGTTGAGTGAGCCCCGCATGGCACTGGAGTTGGACCTCTAGAGCATCACAGTGGTTGTCACGTCACAAGCTGTCCTGTAAAGGTCCTCCCCCAAGCTGAAGGCAGATACACAGCTGCTGCTCAAGCCCTAAACCTCCAACTGGTGAAACCATTGCTCAATGGGAAGGGATGTGTGCCCGAGCTGTGGATAGGAAGATGGAGTGGCAATGCTCTCAAACATTTTGTGCTGAGATGTATTGCCCAACAGGAAACTAGCAGGGAGTTCCTGGTATCGACCATCCACCTAGTGAGAGCTCAAACCGTGCTTGTCAGATGACAAATGACCAACTAGTGACTATCCTCTTTGGGGGGAGGTAAGCAGGGTCTCCTTGGACTTGAACTGGCTCCAAGATGACATGTTTGTCAATGTAATGTCTGAATCGAGCCCACCCTCTGTGACTGTCTTTAGTTCAGTTCCTGAACCAGGGGGATCTGCAGTATTCCAGGGCACTGCTGATGGCAGCCCAGCCAGCCTGGCTCATCGCAGGACTTGGCAGGACCAGTCACTGGGGGCGGGAATCCTCCACTCAGCCCTGTTAACCCTGTAAGCCAAAGCTCCAAAGGGTAGGGTGGTCCTAACTGGACTAACAATGGGAATCTTGCCAGACAGGGATATCAATGACTAGTCGTGTGGTTCAGCTGGTTATACTCTAGCTGTTATCCCAACACATACTCTGGGGTCCCCAAGCATTCTCTGGGATTAGAGAATGTACATTTCTTTTGAAACATTGTAGGTGACATACATATGGGGAACTCTGGTCTGGTTTGGATTCTCTTAAGCACGGTGATGGGTTTCTGCGTGGGTCGGCCACTCAACTGACAAAAAAACACTCTCTCATTCTTAATTTTGCTACCATTCTCTATCTCACATTCTCCCTTATTCTTTCTCACTATCTTTCGTTCTGTCTCAGTCTCTCTTATTGTCTCACACTATTTCTCTCATACATTTTATTCTCTCATACTCTCATTCTTCTTCAACTTCTCTCGTTCTCTCTTACACTCTATCATTCTGCCCCACTCTATCTCTCAAACTCTCATTCTCACACTTTCACTCAGTCTCTCTCAGCCTTTCTCATTCTCTCTCGCTGTCATACAAACTCTTTCACAAACACTGTGTGATGATAGTGTCTCTGTCGTTCTCTCACTGATTCCCTGTCTTATTCTCACCCTCTGTGTCTTGTTCTCTCTTTCTCCTTAATTCTTCCATGCTTTCTTCTCTCCCACACTCTCTCCCTCCCTCACTCTCATTCTATCTCTCACTCTCTCTCCCTCCATCACACTCTCCCTCCCTCACTCTCTTTCTCTCCCTCACTTTTCTCTCTATCCCTCACTCACATTCTCTCTCTCTCTCTTGTTCTCTTGTACTTGTTTTGCTTTCTTTCTCTCTCAGTCTCATGTCTTGTTTCTTCTTTCTCATTCTATCTTGCTCCCTCTCCCCCTCTCATTCGCTTTTCTTCTCTCTCTCTCGTTTTCTCTCACTCCCCCTCTCCTTAATTCTCTTAATCTTTTCGCCCACAGAATACAGTCAATTCACTTTACAGTATATCCTGTGAAGCGCTTTGAGGCATCTCGATGACGTGATAAGGCGCTATATCAAGTGTAACGATTATTATTATTATTCCCTACCAGACAAAGCAGTTTACTGGGCCAGATAGAGATGAAATAACACACCCTCATACAGCCACCAGGTAGTCTTCAAAGCAGGACAAGCAGCGGGAAAGCTTGCCAGACAGCAATATCAATGGCAAGCTCTGCAGTTTTAGCTGGTTGGGTTCCAGCATTTACCTCAACCCACACTCTTGGGTCCCCAAGCCTTGGCTCTTGCCAACCTGCACCCAATACTCTGGAATTAGGTAAGCAGGATGTGTCCCTCCAGGGAGAGAGTCCGCTTTCCTTTCCAATGAATATCTTTGGAATTTCAATGTGTAGGTGGGATGCATGGGAATTCTCAGTTTGGGTTTGGAGACTCTTAAGCATGGGGATGGGTTTCTGTATGTGTCAGATACCCGGCTGACCAAAAAAAACGTCTCTCTCTCTCTCTCTCTCTCTCACACACACACACACACACACACACAGCCCTGACATTTCAAAGCTTTGATCTAATCTCCCAGCCTGTGTTGAGTTGCGAGCAATCTCAAAGCCTCCCAGGGCTCCGCTGGATCAAAAAACAATGAAATGATGTGATGTGATGTTTACAGACAGGAGGACTAAGGAAGAAAGAGATTTGACAGCATGGTGCCTGCAAGATGTGTGTCTGCAGCCTTAGGCAGTCGTCATAGCAACTGCAAAGTACCGTTTATAGACTCACATTCTGGATAAAGGTTATTCAATAAAATGGGTTTCCATTTATCCTGATCCCTGTGTGTCTGTGTGTGGGTGGTGGGTGTCTCACAAGTCAACTGAGGCAAATAATATCAACTCCAACTTCACCTGTTAATCACAACAACAACAACAACAAGACTAATTTCACGTCGGGAGGACTTCCCAAGGTGCTGGATCACCTCTCCATCCCTCACTCCCTCCCTCATCCCTCACTCCTTTCCTTAAAGATCCTGCGGCGTTACTCGATAAGACACGACAGTTTCTCTGTACTGGTGTCCTGGCCAACCATCCCCCAGACACAGTTGGTCATTCATTTCATGGCTGTTTTGGGGACAATTTGGCAGTTGAGGTTGGCACCAAATACTGCACTGGTCGCAACAGCAAATTCCATGTATAGTGCCTTTCACTTTGGGAGGATGGCCAAGGTGCTGGACAGTCAAGGTTTTGCACTCGAGCTGCGGGTCGGAATCAGGAGGGCAAGAGGGGTGGGAGGATGGCTGAAGGCATCGTCAAAAGGAAGGTCTTGAGATGGGCCTTGAAAGAGACAACGGAGGAGGTAAGGCGGAGGGATTCTGGAATAGAGTTCCAGAGAGTAGGGGCAGAAAGGCTGAAGACCTTTATTAAATGGCGTTGTATCAACTGCGAGGATTACTGTTACTTTCCCACGTTTATTGCTGGTATCAAACACTCCAAGGATGGGAACAGAACACACCTGTGTCACAGAAATTACTGGCTTTAAATAATATAAACAATAATAATAACGGCACTTTCATGTCAGATCAGTGTCTTGAAGCCCTTTATAGTAACAGGACGTCAAAACGTTGTGAAATATCTCATACCTCAATTGTTGTCCACTGTAGTGACTGTTTGTTGCCTCCCAGCTAACGTCCCACTAACCGGCCACAAAGCGAATGACCAATTGATCTGGGGGATTGTCGGGCAGGACACCGGGTGAGAGAAACGGCCTTCTGCTTTTCAAGTAGCGTCCTGGGATCTTTAATACCTGCTTAAACAGGCCACAGATGGGCACTTGCTTTACTTTCTCGACCAAAGGACGGTGCGACTGACAGTGCTACATCACTGCGCTGATCTTCAGTATATGAGCTTGAGTGTTTCAAAATACAGGTTGATTCCGTTATCACACAGTGGGTTTGGTGTCTGTGAATTTGAACCCCATATTATCAGCCACAATAAAAAATGTCTCTCGATCAGCACATCCAAGTGGTCAGGCCTCAGGCCTGCTGAACCCACTGCTCCTGCGAGTCTTTAAGAGATTGCTGGGACATCGCTAGACACCGGAAAGCATTCTGTGTAGGAGTTTGGCTACTCAGCGCTGGACGTACAGCAAACCCAGCCTATGGGGGACTCCACAGGCAGGGGTTATGACAGGTTTGGCCTGTATATTTCTTGGTTATTTGGTCTTTCTTTGATATGTTGGAGGGACCATGCTTCAGGTGAGATGTTAAACTGAGGTCCCGTCTGTGGCTGTTCAGGTGGACAAAAAGTTTCTCTCTCCCAGTATCCTGGCCAACAATCCCTCAGATAAAATTGGTCACTCACTCCATGGCTGTTTGTGGGACATTGCGGTGTACAAATTGGCTGCATGTTTGCCCACAAAATACACAATATACAGCAAACATGGGATGAGCAGTTTAGAGTGAGCTTTACTCTGTCTCTAACCTGTGGCTATGGCTGACCTGGGAGCCTGGACGGATAGTGTAGAGGGAGCTTTACTCTATCTCTAACCCATGCTGTGGTTGACGGGGAGTCGGTGGTTGCTGTGATAACCGTTGTATGTGATTACAGGTCACCTGGTCAGTGTGGTGTTACTCACCTTGCCACTGCAGCACCTGGTCAGACTGTACCTGTACATACTGACAGTCGTGCTGCTGTACGCTGGGCACCAGAGCTCCAGGTAAGCCCTCAGCGACACTGGGGACGGTTCCATTTTATCTATAGCCTGTGTGTGTTTGTAGGGCAAGATTTGAAGCCACAACCTTCTGACTCGGAGACCAGAGTGGCATCACTGCACCAGGCTGACACATTAAGGTGTTCAGATTTTATGGAGCACTCTTGCCTTGGAGTCAGAAGGTTGTGGGTTCAAATCCCACATCCGGATCTTGGAATCACATTTTGTAAGCTGACACTTCAATGATGGGGTGTTGTTGCATTGGCAGAGAGGTGCTATCCTTACATTTGATATACAGTAGCACCTCACACTGTTGAGACATCTCAAACCACTTAACAGGATATAATGTGGAGTGACAGTGTATTTTGTGAGTAAAACGGATGAAACAGAAAACCATTGAATGTCAGCCTGGTGCAGTGGTTGCACTCTTTCCTCTGAGTCAGAAAGTTGTGCATTAAATCCCTCATGTGGGGGACTTGGAATCACAGTCTAAGCTGTCACTCCAATGGGGTGCTGGGGGTGTTGCATTGTCGGAGGTGCAGTGCTTTCAATGAGACGTTAAATCCAGGTCCCGTCTGCCTGTTTAGGTGGACGTTAAAGATCTCATATCATTGTTCGAAAAGAGAAGGGAGTTTCTCTCTCCCGGTATCCTGGCCAATAAATCCCCCAAATAAGTTACTCATTTCCTGGCTGATTGTGAGATGTCTCCGTGCGCAAATTGGCTGTCTTGTATGCCTGCAGAACACATAGTCACTACACTTTACAGTAAAATACTGTGAAACGTTTTGAGATGACCTCTCAGTATGAAAGATGTATCAAATGCAAGGATTAGTTTCTTCTCAGCTGTCACTTCCCAAGTATTTGATCATCTTTCTGTTAAACTTCCCAATTGATTCGCTTTCCCACTCCCTCCCACCACCCTCCTCCCCACAGCCTCAGGGTCTGGGCTGCCCACCTTCTCACCTCTCTCTGGGAGAAGCAATCTCTCCTGGTCAAATTGGTTTAACTTCTCAAGGCAGGGAAATGAGATTAAAGGAGTTATCCTCACGAGCTCTGAAAGTCTCCCCCGTGTGTGGCTGTGAGGCTGAACAGCTCCCTATCGCCCACTTTCCTCCTGCTGCCTCCATCATGATTGCTCGCCATCTAACCTTCCGTCGCCCTTCTCTTAAAGGAATTACGTTCTGCGTGAGATGGAATACGGGTACGAAGGGGCTGTACACAGGGATACAGCAGCTCTGCAGCGGTTTCTCACAACTTTAACAGGTCAGTGGTGGGGGGGCAGGAGTGGGAAACTGATGAAGGGTAGTGTGGAGGAATATGTTGGGGGAATGTGTTGGCGTCTTGATTTGGATGGCACCAACAGGCCTTATATGATTGTAAGGCTTATAGTATAGTGGTGGTGGAGGGGAGAAGAAATAATTGGGGGATATAAGATGCCCTGTTAAGATCGTGCTGCTCAGTCGGTAGTGCTCTCATGGTTGTGAGAGTCAGGAGGTTGTGGATTCCAATCTCACGTCGGGACTTGAACTTGTCTAAGACAGTGGTGGCCAATCTTTATGGTCGGATAACAAAACAAACAAACTTTCTTATAAACAAAAGCAAAATACTGCAGATGCTGGAAATCTAAAACAAAAACAGAAATCACTGGGAACACTCAGCAGGTCAGGCAGCATCTATGGAGATCTATGGCATCTATTTTTCTCTATAGATGTTGCCAAACAAACTTTCTTGGTTGAATATTTCTTGTTTTATCCCATGAATAAAGAAAGATTCAATCAAGAAAAGACAAGAAACATACTACTAATCGAACAGGAATTTACCTAGATTAGTGCAAATGTTCTGGGGGTCGTTTACGGATTGCACCAAGAGGACACTTCCGGCCCACGAGCCACAGGTTGCACAGGTTGGCCACTACTGGTTTAGGCTGACACTCCAATGCAGTGCTGGCTGTGTGCTGCCTGGTCGGAGGTGCCGTCCTTCAGATAAGACGTTAAATCGAGGCCTTGTTTGCGTGTTCAGATCCCATGGCACGATTCGAAAAGAGAAGGGAGTTTCTCTCTCCTGATGTCCTGGCCAACAATCCCCCAAATAAAATTGGTTGCTCACTGCATGGCTGTTTGTGGAACACTGCTGCTGCTGTGTTTCGCCCACAAAATACAGTCAATCCACTTTACAGTGTGAATCACTTTGAGATTCTCGACAGCATGTTAAGACATTAAATCAAATGCAAGTAATATTATTGATATTATTACTAATCCCTAATACTATTAAACAAAATTATTGTTATTTTGAAGTCCTGTAGCATAGTGGTGAGCGCGCGCCCCTCACTAGCGAGAGGACCCGGGTTCGACTAGCAGTAATTAGGAACCTAGTTGTTAGTTGAGTGGTAGATCGCGTTCCCTTTTAAAAAAAATGTGGTCACGCGATGCACGATTGTTTGTGGGACACTGCCATGTTTTTCCCACAAAATACACAGTCACTCCACTTTACAGCTTTGAGACATCTCGACGACATGATAAGGTGCTATATCAAATGCAAGGATGATTATTAATGTTATTAATCTCTTCACCTTGCTTTGCAGGCCAGCTCCTGGTTTGCTCTCTCTGCACTTTCTTTATGAGGACCAGACAGTTGTGGCTGTTCTCGGCCCACCTGCTCCCATTGCTGGCCAGGGTCTGTATGGTGCCCCTCTCCACCCTGCTGCTCCTCAGCAAACTGGCCTTTGTCTTCAGTAGCCTCGAGGTGCTCCTTTTCCTCACCTCGAACATGTTCGTCCCCTATTACCTGGCCAAGGCTGGCTATCGGGAGGTCATGCAGGTAGGTCAGCACAATTTAAGTCACACTTACACAGTCGTTTCACTTTACAGTATATTCTGTGAAGCGCTTTGAGGTGTCTCAATGAAGTGATAAGGCGCTATATCGAATGCATGGGTTATGATTACTATTATTATACAGCGCTTTTCATATCGTCCCAAAGCAATTCACTAGAATGATACCAGGGCTTAAAGGGATAAAATTCGAGCACAGGTTGCATGAACTTCGTTTGTATTCCCATGAATTTAGAAGGTGTTTGACTAACAGTAAGTAGGAACCAGTTTGATAGTCGATTGGGGGGTCGCTTTCTGGGGGTAATTAATCCCTTAAAAAATAATAATTAATAATAATAATTTGGTCACTCAATCCATGACTGTTTGTGGGATACTGCTGTGTGCTATTGGATGGTGCATTTTAGTGCACAAAACACACAACCAATCCACTTTACAATATATCCTATGAAGAGCTTTGAGACGTCTCGATTGCATGAAAGACACTATATCGAATAAAAGGATTATTAATGTATTTTATAAGATTGATATGTGATCTGATTGAGGTGTTTAAAATGATAAAGGAATTCAATAGGGTAGCTCCAGAGAAACTGTTTCCTCTGGTAAGGGAATCCAGAATAAGGGTATTATAATGTAGAGTCCTGTAGTGTCTTGGTTAGAGCGCTCTCCTCGCAAGTGAGAGGACCCGAGTTCGACTTCTGGGCAGGGCAAAACCTTAAGCAAGTTTCCTTGCTCTACACACCTCTGTTTATCGAGCAGTAAATAGAAACCCTTTTGTTAGTCGATTGGCAGATCGCTTTCCAGGGGTAATTATCCTTCAAAAGAAAATTGGTCACTCAATCCGTGAATGTTTGTGGGACACTGCTGTGCGCAATTGGCTGCTATGTTGCACCCACAAAATACAATCAATCCACTTTACACCATAATCTGTGAAGCTTTGAGATAATATGATAAGGTGCTATATCAAATGCAAAGATTATTATTACATTGTGACACAGAGGTGGGAGTGCTATTGAGTGTGCCAGGCTGACACCGGTATGTGTTCCTCTACAGGAAGTGGAACTATTCGGTTTCCTGTCTCTGGGACTAACCTTGTGGAACCGCTTTGTGATTCCCTCGCTCCTCACTGTGTTCTGGCTGGTGTTGTTCGCCACACAGCTCTACTTCTACCTCTCATCCCATGCCCAGAACTCTTCACACGAAGGGCTCGTCTTCATCTTCCTCACCAGGTAACCCTAACCCTCCACCCCCAGTGCACATTGAGGTTTAGGAACGATCTCTGTCCTTTGACACCGAGGCTATAATGTCCCAACAGCACTGTTAATGGCCTCCAACAACAGCAACCAATTACATTTGTATCAGGCCTTTCACGTTGAGAGGTCGTCCCAAGGTACTGGACAGTCAGAGATTTGGAACCGAGCTGTGGGTTAGGATCAGGAGGGGTGGAGAGCAGGGAGAAGGAAGACCCAGGAAGATCAAAGAGGAGGGTCTTGATACAGGCCTTGAAGGAGGCAAAAGAGGGTGGAAGGCAAAGGGATTCTGGAATGGAGTCCGAAGGATGGAGTAGAGAGGCTGAGCCCCTGACCGCCAATGCTGGCCACTCCAACTGCAGTTACTGTGAGCATACACTTTTGCCTGAAGCGATGTCCTGCAGGAAGACATAGAATGGATGAGCTAGTTGGGGATTTATCAGTCAGGACACTTGGGGGGTGGGGGGAAGAGAGGGAGGGAAACGGGAGAGAGAGGGGAGAAACGAGGCGGTGGGAGGGAGAAGGAAGGGAGGGAGGGAGGGAGAAGGAAAGGAGGGATGGAGGGAGAAGGAAGGGAGGGATGGATGGAGGGAGAAGGAAGGGAGGGATGGATGGAGGGAGGGATGGAGGGAGAAGGAAGGGAGGGATGGAGGGAGAAGGGAGGGAGAGAGGAGGGAGGGAGAAGGGAGGGAGTGAGAAGGGAGGGAGAGAAGGAGGAGGGAGAGAGAGATAGAAGAGAGTGGTAGGGGGGGAGAGAGAGAGACTCCCTTATTTTTTCCAATCCTGTGATTCTGCACTGTCATAAATTTGAATCACTGTAAAAATGTTACAGCTCAGAAGGAGACGTTCTATCAAATGCAAGCATTATTATTATTGTTAATGCTGTGTGACTCTCTCTGTCACTTGCAGTGTGGCTGAGTGCTGTGCTACCCCGTACTCTCTGGTGGGTCTGACCTTCACTGTCTCCCGGCTGTCTCTGGGATTGCTCGCTCTATGCAAGTTCTATCTACAGGGATTCTCTGCGTTCGTAAACGAGAACCTCATGCACAGGTGAACAGTGACAACAACTTGTATTTATTTAGTGCCTGTTGTGCAGGGTAGTGTCTCAGAGTGCTTGACAGTGGCTGCGCCTGGCATTGAGCATGGCATTGAGCCAGGAGGGAGGTGACCGTAGGCACGTTAAAAGAAGAGGATCTTCAGGTGGGACTAGAAGATGGGGAAGGAGGGGGCAAGGTGGAGTGATAGAGGAAGCGCATTCCAGAGTTTGGGGCGAAGTGGCTGAAAGTGTGGTCACCAATGGTGAAACTGAGGGCATGAGGGACATGAAGAGGCTGGAGCCAGTCGAGCGAAGGCAGCGGGTTGGGGAGTAGGCGGGTCGGAGATGTAGGGACGTGCCAGGGCATGAAGGGATTTGACAATAAATATGAGGATCTTGAAATCGATAATTTGGTGATAGGGAGCCAGTGGAGCCTGGTTTGATAGGGCTACGGAGTTTAGTGCGGGTGAGAAATAGAGTATGGCGACCGAGAGTTGGAGGAGGACGGAGGAGAGCAGGGAGGAGAGAAAAGCTAGAGTGTAGGGGGTGGGTGACAATATTCGGACTCTGGCATAAAGTAGAGTCCTGTAGCTCAGTGGTTAATGGCTAGAGTTGTTAGAGCGCTCCCCTCACAAGCAAGAGACCTGGGTTCGATTCCCGGCGGGGTGAAACCTTAGGCAAGTTTCCTTACTCCACCCACCTCTGTTTATCTCGCAGTAAGTAGGAATCTGGTTGTTAGTTGATTGGCAGATTGCTTTTCGGGGGTAATAATTCCTTCAAAAAAATATAATGATAAATTGGTCACTCAATCCACGACTGTTTGTGGGACACTGCTGTGTGCAATTGGCTGCCCCGATTCGCCCGCAATTTATACAGTCAATTCTCTTTACAGTATATTCTGTGAAGCGCTTTGAGACGTCTCGAAGACGTGATAAGGTGCTTTATCAAATGCAAGAATTATTATAAAATCTCTGTGCTTTTAAAAACAAACTTTGTTGGGGCTTAACTAGAACTTCTGAACGAGGTTGTAGGGGGTGGCAAGTATTGGGAGCCAATGTTGGGGGACTCAGGAAATTTTCCAATTTCCCGTTGAGCTAAATAAAAAACAGAAGTCGCTGGGAACATCTAGCAGGTCAGGCAGCATCTATCAAGAGAGGAAAGTGAGACAACGTTTCAGGTCGATGACCTTTTATCAGATTTGGGGGGTGATGGAAGGGAGCAGCTTATAAAGATAAACAGAGGAGGGGCAGGGAAAGCAAAACAAAGGAAAAAATTGGATGGAGTACAAGAGATGACCCATTGAGCCAGTTTGACCTGCGTATGAGAGAGCAACTGTGAGGTGCTTTAAGAACTCACCCTGAGTGGGCTGATGGCTGTTTTGTGTGTACAGGGGGGTGACCGAAGGCATTACCTTCCTGCTGCTGGCCCTTCAGACGGAGCTGATGATGCTGCAGGTCCTCCAACGCACCTTCCTCCTCAGCATCATCCTCTTCATCATCGTGGCCTCAGTCCTGCAGTCAATGCTGGAGATTACCGACCCCATTGTCCTGGCACTGGGAGCTTCCAGGAACCGGTGAGTAATACCTACCATCCCCAATGAAGGCTCCAACCCATGCCTGCCGATTGTTTTAACGACCAACTCGTGACTATTCTCCTGGGGGTTAAGCGGCCTCTCCTTGGAGATGGGTGGGTTTAGTGGGGGGGGGGGGCGTGTGAGGGTGTGGGCTTGAGGGAGCAAGGGCGTGGATTTGAGGTTGGAGAGAGGGGGTATTCGGGGGGATACAGGTGAGAGTGTTAGCATAGTGAGTTTGGTTGTGACCCACCTTGTGTCCTGTTGCACAGAACTTTCTGGAAGCATTTCCGTGCTGTCACCATGTGCCTGTTCCTGCTCCTGTTCCCCTCCTACATGGCCTACAAGATTTCACACTTCTTTCAGATGGATTTCTGGCTCCTCATCATCGTCTCCAGCAGCGCTCTGACAGCACTCCAGGTAACGGGGGGGGATGGCACTGGGGATATCTCCAACCTGTGCTGTAACTGTCCTGGGAGTGTGTGCGGACAGTGTAGAGCTTTATTGTGTCTCTAAAGCCTGATCTCACCATCTCCCCCCACAGGTGACGGGGACTCTCTTTATCTACGTTCTCTTCATGACTGAGGACTTGCGGCAGGACTCCGCGGAGAGCATCGACGATGTGATTTACTATGTGAACAGCGGGTGCTGTGTGCTGGAGTTTGTGGTGGCAGTGTGCGTGGTGGGGTACGGGGCAGCCGAGTCGCTGTGGGGAGAGTGGAGCTGGATGGGAGCCTCCGTTATCGTGGTTCACTCCTACTTCAACGTGTGGCTGCGAGCGCGCTCCGGCTGGAGCAGCTTCCTGCTGCGTCGAGAGGCCTCACGGAAAATCAGTGCCCTCCCCCATGCCACCCCTCACCAGCTCACACAGCATGCTGACGTGTGTGCCATCTGTTATCAGGTCAGTGACCACCCAACCCCAGCTCCTCACCTCTCTGTCTCTCTTCCCCATGTGTGTGCTGTGTTTTTCTCTATTTTTTCCCCCATCTCTCCAACTTTTTCTTTCCCAGTCTCACCATCCCTCTTCCTCTCTCTCTCTCTCTCTCTCTCCCTCTATATATCTCTCTTTTCCGCCCATCTTTCCCTTTCTCTCTGTCTGTTCCCCCGTCACTCTTTCTCCCCCTTCCCTCCCCCGTCTCCCCATTCCTCTCTCTTCTCCTCTGTTTTCCCCTTCTCCCCATCTCTCTTTTCCCCCGTCTTCCCACTTCTCTCTCACTCTCTCCCCTCTCCCCCCCCCAACCCCCCAATGGGGGGATGGGATTAGAGTAGAGAGCTCCAATGGGGGAGTGAGCACCAGCACAGACGTGATGTAGGTGCCATGATGATGGCATGTATGTATCTCTGTTTGTTCCTAGGAGTTGAGAAGTGCCGTCATCACCAAATGTGGCCATTACTATCACTCCTCATGTCTCCGCAAGTGGCTTTATGTGCAGAAAACCTGCCCCATGTGCCACCAGCCCATCAAACCCACTGTCCCGGGGGAGGGGCTGGGGGCCCCTCAGCAGGCCGGGGCCGTAGAGCAGCCTGAAGCCCCTCTGCCTGCTGAGGGGGGAGGGGAGGCTGAGGGATTGGTGGAGAGGCCTCGCCAGCAAACTGGTGCTGAGGACCCGGGGCCCAGAGCCGGAGGAGAAGCCTGTGGCTGGATTTCGGACGCTACCCGCGATGAGACACAGGATTTCCTGAAGGAAGCAGCGGGAACGCTGGAACGGGACGGGGAAGAGGAAAGAAACAGGAGGGTGGAAGAGGTGGTGTTCCTGTCGGTAACTGAGCAGCAGCCTGCGAGCATGTCGCTGGGCCTCAAACCTGAACCCAGGGAAAACCGGGAAAGGGACACGGAGGCTCGGAGTTCCCAGCGCAGGGTTAATCCCATTCCTGTTGAGCCTGACGAAAGTCGGGAATGGTCCCATCTCTCCGGACGGCCCGGCCTCTCAGGAGCAATCCCGGATTCTGAAGACAATCGTTCCCAGGACAGATGATCCTGATTTTTTTTTTCTTTTCAGACTTTTAGCACAAAAAAACTCTTAACGTGTGTGGGTGTGCGTGTGGGTATGTGTGTGGGGGGCGCACAGGAGGAGAGGGAGAGAGAGGGAGTGGAAGAATGGAGAGAGAGGAGATTGGGGGGAGACAGAGTGTGAGGAAAGAGGGAGAAACTAGAGAGAGAAGGTTGCGAGAGAGGGAGAGAAGTGTGGAGAGATGTAGGGAAGAGTGGAGAGGGGGAGAGATTGGAGAGAAGAGAGAAACAGAGTGGGGATAGCTTTGGTTTGTACACAACTGCAGTTTGAACTTCTGGACAAGTTGTGTTGCCACTGTTTTAATTCCATACTTCACCAATGCCCCACCTCCTGCCTTGTCTCCTGGCTCGACACCCCGCACACACAGTCACAGTCCCCGATCCAAGCAAGTGGCCCCGATTCATTGCCTCTCAGGGACTCTCAATCAATGGGAAACCGGGCAGATTCTTGTGTTGCTTTGACTCAGCCATCAATCATCTCCTCACCCATCACCATGTGTTATCTGTCTTCAAACTAGACTCAGAGTTCCACATCTGTCTGCCCAGTATACACAGTTTTCATGAGTCACCAAATGCTCCATTATTGTGGGACATTATTTCCTTCTCCCCAATTCAGCAGTTTGGAAATAACCTTGAGATCCATTTATACCCAGCCACCCCCTCACTCCCTTCCCCAGCACCACTAAAGAAGTCTCTCAGCAAAGGTCTGAGCTGTGATAACACACAATTCAACCCAGCTCAGTGCTCGGAAATTTGACTCATCTTAGCCTCAGACCCATCATCCCTCTGTATCCCGGTTCCCCAGCATGTAAACGCCGCTTACAACTGTGTTTCCGAATGGTCTCTACTCGCTAATCTACTTAACTGTGGAGTCCTGTAGTGTAGTGGTTAGCGTGCTTGCCTTGCAAGCAAGAGGACCTGGGTTCGATTCCCAGGCGGGGCGAAACCTGTGCACAATTGGCTGCCTCATTTTGCCCACCAAATACAGTCAATCCACTACAGTACATTCTGTGAAGCGCTTTGAGACGTCTCAATGACGTGATAAGGCATTATATCAAATGCAGGTATAAATCCATCAATCGATTCATCCATCCATTAATTAGGGGTATCTTTCCAGGCAGCCCCCCACACCACCCCGCCATTGCGTCAATGTTCTCACCAGAAGGCTTGAAATTTTCAGGGTGGTGGGGAAGGTGTTTGGTTTTGTATAAAGTAATGGATAATAAAATTTTGAAATGATTACAGGCTTGTCAATCTTTGATACGTTACAAAGTGCGTTGGTTGGGATTGAGGCTATTTATACACTTTTCCTTCTGCACTTTCTCAACGTCCACCTGAGCAGGGCACAACGGACCTCCTCGTCTCCATGTCTCATACGGAGGACAGCATGTCTGGTAATTCATCACTCACCCCCCCCCCCCAGCACTGCATTAGAGCATCGGTCTAGACTGTGAGTTCAAAGTCCACAATATGGAGTTCGAACTCACAAACCTGACTCAGAGGTGAGAGTGACACTCTTGAGATGCTGCTGTACACAAACAACAACAGATTACATTTATATAGCATGTTTCATGTCAGGAGGACATCCCAAGACTCTGGACAGTCAAGGATTTGAACCCAAGCTGAGAGTTGGGATCAGGAGGGGTGAAGGGCAGGGAGAACGGGGATAGGAGGATGACCGAAGGCGTAGTCAAAGAGGAAGGTCTTGAAACGGGCCTTGAAGGGAGCGAGGTGAAGTGATTGCAGGATGGAGTTGTGGGGGCAAAGAGGCTGAAGGCCCAACTGCCGATGGTGGGGTGGTGGTTGTGGGAGGAGGAACACATGGTTGGAGCCCGCTGAGCAGAGGGAGCGAACAGTTAAAGCAGATATATATATATATAGGAAAGGGAGCTATATATAATTGCAAGTTGTTGAGTCCTGCCACGTGAGCCAGGCTAACGCCTTATATATCGATCATTCACTTCATGGCTGGTTGCGGGACGTTGCTGTGTGCAAATTGGCTGCCCTCTTTTCCTACAAAGTACACAGTCATTACACTTGGCAGTGAATCCCGGTGAAGCACTTTGAGACGTCCTTTCGACAGGAAAGGTTGTATTAAATGCAAGGATTATTACCGTAAGTTATTGTTGCTGCAGTGAACCTCTCTGGCCCCTAAATGGTTTCTCTTCTCACCCCCACCTGGTCACCTGTAGGCTACCCCAAGGCTCTTCTCATCCTCATCTATATGCTTCCTCTCGGTGACTTCATCCACAGACACTGAGATAACTTCCACATGTGTTCGGATGACACTCAACTTTACTTCTCCAGCTGCTCTGATGTTCTGACAGCTTGTCTGGATGGTAAATAGCTGCATGAGCACAAAGTTCTTGCAATTAAATGTCAACAAGCAAGAAGCCATACTCTGGCTCCCGTCAACAACGTCTGTCCTGCGGTTCAGAACTCTTCAACCTACCCGATCTGTCCTTAAAACTCTGAACCCGTGCACAACTTAGACGTCAGGTTCGATCCCCAGTTACCCTTCCTCCCCCACATCTGGTCCCTGGCCAGGATCGCTTTCCTCCATCTCCGCCACATTGCCCGTCTCCGACAATACCTCACTCCACTAGCTGTTGAAACCGTTGTCTATGCGTTCATCACCTCTCGGCTGCACTACTCTAATACCCTCCTCGCTGGTCTCCCCTCCTCCACTATTCACAAAATTCAGCTCATCCAGAACTCCGCCGCCCCATTCTCACCCGCACTAAACTCCACACCCCGATTACACCAGCTCTTACTAAACTCCACTGGCTCCCGTCACAGAGCAGATCAACTTCAAGATCCTCACTCTAATGTTTAAATCCTTCCACGCCTTGGCTCCCCACTTTCTCTCCAACCTCCTCTCCCCCCAACACTACCCACTGCCTCTGCTCTACTTATAAATTACGAAAATAATTTGGTCACTCAATTCGGGACACTGCTGTGCACAATTGGCTTCTGCTTTTCGCCCACAAAATATAGTGATTCACTTTACAGTATATTCTGTGAAGTGCTTTGAGACGTCTTGAAGATGTGATAAGGCACTATATTAAATGCAAGGATTATTATTATAACCCATCTGCTCCTGTTCAGATGGAAGGTAAAGATTCTGAATCACAATTTGAAAATAAGGGAGTTTCTCTCTCTCTCTCTCTCCCCTGGTGTCCTGGCCAACAATCCCCCAAACACAATCATTTACTTTGTGCTTGTTTGTGGGAACATTGCAGCGTGTAAATTTGCTGTTGCATTCAGCTACAAAATATACAGTCACTACCCTTTATAGTAACATCCTTGGGACAATCTCCTGATGTGAAAGCCTCTGTATCAAATGCAAGGATTATTATGAATTTATTCGAAAAGAGAAAGGGGTTTCTCTCCCGTTATTCTGGCCAACAGTCCCTCTGATTAAAAAAAATTGGCCACTCACTTCACTGCTGTTTGTGTGATATTGCATGTGCAATTGGCTGCCATGTTTCAAATGCGATGATTATTATTTTTATTTGTTATAATTTCATGTTAAATTATAAGGTTCATTGCAGCCTGTTTCATGTAGTTGGGACTGGGTGAGCTATAGAGAAATAACCACGAGATGGCACTGTTGACCTGATGGTGGCTCAGCCTCACACACCTGTGGTTCTTGGCTGTGTGTGGCACTTGCACCTCTCTCTGAATGGTAAACAATTAACAAACTACTGCAAAACACAAAACATATTGGTTAGAGCGCTCGCCTCGCAAGGGGGAGGATCCGGGTTCAATTCCCGGGCAGGGTGAAACCTTAGGCAGGTTTTCTTACTCCACACACCTCTGTTTATCAAGCAGTAAATAGGAACCCAGTTGTTAGTCGATTGGAAGATCACATTCCAGGGGTAATAAATCCCTCAAAAAAAAATTTGGTTACTCATTCCACGAGTATTTGTGGGACACTTGTGCGCAATTGGCGTTTCGCCCACAAATATACAGTCAATTCACGTTATAGTATATTCTGTGAAGCACTTGGAGGTGTCTCAATGACTTGATAAACTGTTATATCAAATCCTGGGATTATTATTATTAAAGGATTATTATTTGTTATTATTAAAGGATTATTATATGCATGGGAAAATGCAGTTTGCATGTTATTTTCTAATTTAGTAATGTTACATTTATTAATAGTTGCAAAGTACTAATACAAGTTATAATTTGACACAATGCCTTATGTTTCACCAAGTTTTTCTGTGAAGTGTAGTGACTGTGTGTTTTATAGGCAAATGCAGCAGACAATTTGCACACAGCAGCGTCCCGCAAACAGCAGTGAGATGAGTAACTGATTTTATCTGGGGGATTATTGGCCAGGACACCAGGAGAGAGAGAAATTCCCTTCTCATTTCCAATAGAGCTGCGGGATCTTTAACATCCATCCACCTGAACAGGCAAAGATGGGACCTTGCTTTAACGTCTCGTGAAACACGTTGTATGTTGCAAATACAATTTTTGAGATGAAACGTTAAACTGAGATCTGTCTTCCTGTTTTTTGAAGCCTGGCAATATTGTTTGCAGCACATAGTCACTACACTTGAAAAGGCACGGATTATCACTATATAATGAATAGGATTTGCAGGGTAGGTAAACTCAGTTATTCGCTTTGTGGCGGTTTGTGGGACATTGCTGTACACAAATTGGTTGTCACGCACATACAGTTCCCAATAAGTAAACTCCGGTTAACTCGATCCTGGCTTAACTTGTCACAGCCACTTAAGTCAACACGCTGTTAATATCCTAGCCACATTTATTTATGTATTTTTACATATGCATAACTCCTTACTCCTGATAACTTGTCACTGAGCCATTTTCCCTTGGGAGTGATGTGTTATCAGGAGTTTACTGTATATTCTGAAGCACACTGAGATGTCTTTCTGACGTGTGTGGTTTTGTGTGTGTGTGTGTGTGTGTGATTGTGTGTGTGTGATTGTGTGTGGTTGTGTGTGTGTGATTGTGTGTGGTCATGTGTGTATGTGGTTGTGCGTGTGTGTTCCCCGGCTCCTTGCCTCATTCTCACTCCATTTCGCTGAATTGATCTCTTGTGGACTCTTGGGCTGAGCTATTTTCTGTGTATTTTCTTTCCTTGTCTGCTGCTGCCTC